ATATGGATTCAACTATCATGAATGTAAACACATAAGATATGTGTGTTAGGTTTGTAAATTGTAAATTCCCAACAAAAAAGGAACACCCGAAACCATCAAAATTAAAACAGAAGTATAAATTCCCAATAGGAAAACGAGAACCCAACATTGTTGGTAAAACCAGCTTGATTCTATATCCAATTTCATTATATACACAACATAAATTTTGTTGTTAACAAATGCTCAAGCTTCTAATATATTTTTCTCGATATTTTCTCTCAAATATAAAAAATTATGATGAAATTCCAATCCATGTTAATCAAATAAACAACCGAAAAGCCTTATTCATATATTGCTCCTACCATTTCTCACATTTGCACTCACATATCGCACATCAACATAGGAAGAATGAAGCAAAAATACCAAAACCAAGACTTGTTTGATAGTTATGTAATCATTCTCAAAAAGCAAAACCAATGTAGGAACCGCCGAAATGTATCCATCAACCAAAGACCACAAACATATCAAACAAATCACAAGCATATGTTGCTTTGTATGTAAACATAGGTTGTAGCGGTCGAGAAAAGAGAAAGAAATGCAAGTCTCTGTGCTTTGTAGGTAAAATTTTTTTAAAAAAATTTCTATGTGCAAACCATACGGCTCATAGAGAAAATCCACGAAGAAGAGATGAGGAGGAGAGGATACTGGAGGAAGTAAACGCCGACAAAAAAACCCTATTAAGATGTGTCGGCAAGCAAAGAGGTGTGGAGAAAAAGCCCTAGGCAGATCCCCTACATGACGATGGCAAGCGGGACGAAAGGCACCAAAGGAAAAAATTACCATATAATTCGCAATAATCCAGCTCTAGATCTCGGTGTGACTGCACAGGCGCATTTAATAAACCACGCTCGCGCCGCACCAAACAAATGACAAAATTCACGACAGCGGGCTGCGCCACGGCTGCGCCAAACTGACCCTTAGTCTCAACCATGAGTTTTTTTTTTCAAACAAGCCATACAAAATAATCAGACTAATCTAACATCTAAGCCTGAGAACTTCTAGTAAGCGTAGAGGCCCAAACCTTAGAAAATTCAAATCGTAAAAAAAATAAAATTAAGTAGTCATCATAAATAACATAGCATCGGCTGGAGTTTAGAAGCTCAAATAATGTTCTAATCCTTGCTCAAAAGTTCAAAATGACCTTGTGGTCTATAGGACTCGTGACGGATACACTACCTCACCAAGGGGTTTATTTGGTTCACGCATGGCTTGATAATTTTAAAATTTTATTTTATTCACATATAAATGGGCCTCAAATTAGCTGTGTAAGTGCCATGGTAAAGAATAATGATTAAAAAACCACAGTCATAATTCGCAATTTTAAATGACAATATAATCTAAGCAAGATAATAGATAACAAAACATATTACATTTAATAGATAACGGTATTGCAACAATGCAACACCAAAAACTTTAACCAGATTGATAATTTTATTTGAAATTAGTCAAAAACAAGTTGAAAAAGTTGATACTCTAAGTTCTATCATTAGTATGTTTCAAAGAAATTGAAATACAATAAAAATTAGAGTGCTCTATGTCAGACTCGGCCCAAAATTTGAAATTAACTAATACAAAAATAGACAGTCGGATGGTTGAATTAAATTTTTTATATTTCTATCTATCACTAAAAATTTAATATTCAACATGTCACGACTCGACCTAAAATTTGAAATTAACTAATACAGAAATAGACGGTCGGATAGTTGAATTAAAATTTCTATATTTCTATCTATCACTAAAAATTTAATATTCAAATATTCATTCAAAAAACTACTCACCTTAACTTGAAATTTAATTTGCATTCTTAAGTGGCTCCTTCAATGAATATTTAAATATAACATTGTTAGTGATAGAATTTGAAATATAGAAAACTTAATTTTACCGTCAGGTTGTCTGTTCCCGTCTTGATTAATTCTAAATCTCGAGCTGAGTCGTGACACTCCATATCATGTAACTCAGCAAATATCGCATTCAACAGTTTTCTTAAAAATAAGTCCTTGCAATGCTTCCACAGCTGCTACATAACAATGAAATGGTTGGATACATAAAATTTTTTCCAGAAACATTATACATAGCTGTTTTCAATACTACAAAATGAATGATCTTAAAATACAATTTAAATAGCAGCAAAGAAGACTTTGACATTTTCTTTTATTCTAAAAAGCATCTGTTTTGTGCCAAAAATAGAGTCAGAAAACTTCGGAGAACTCTCTGAGCAAGAAGTCACGAATAAAACCTGCTAAATAGCAATGAAACTAGAACTGTTGTTCATAATATGGGATCAGCATATTGTATACCAAAATTTGTTGCACAAAGAATGCATAGCTATCCTCAGTGCCACAATATATGATCTCGAAACCCAAAAACTAAATTGGACCAGGGAAAGATAGCAGACATCTTTTATTCTAACAAGTTTAAATCCGCCATTGTTTTGTGCTCAATAGAGAGCTGGAAAACCTCAGAGAACTCTCTGAGCAAGGAGTCATGAACAGCATCCATAAGTAAGCTGTTTTCAGCTGCTGGTTCTTTGACTGACCCCCACAGAAGGTCAGACAGAGTACCAACTTCACGGTCATGAATGCCACATGGGATGATATGTTGAAAGGGAGCCAGATCTGTGGACACATTAAGTGCCAACCCATGATATGTTATCCACCGTGAAACCCGAATACCAATGGCAGCTAGTTTTTTATTCCCTGGAAACAGACAGAAAAAAATAGAAATAAAAATAAAAACAGATCTAAAATGGTGAAGTCAGTCACTGTGAAGGTTAGAAGAAGCTGCAGTTAGTTTTTGGATCATATAGTTGTGCATAATTTTGAATTGAAGAAGATTAGAGACTTGATAAATAGCATGATAAGAAATGAGGGACATAAAATGACTAGAATAATAATCACAAGGAATGCAGGCATACCAACCCAGACACCTGTGAGGCCCTCAATCCTAGATGCCTTCACCGAAAATGTTGTGAAGAGAGTACGGATGACCACTTCTTCGAGGGACCGGAGGTACCAGTGGATATCCATTTTGTGGCAACGCAAATTAACAATGGGATACATAACAAGCTAAGGGAAAAGGCGCAAACAAGAGATGTCAGAGGTGGGTGTTAACAGAAACATGATGTTTACTGTATGAAATTTAGGACGAGTAACTTTTGAGTGTGTGCATGCCTGCTCCATATCTTTTGAACATGCACAAGGTTTGTGTTTCTTTAATCTGCCAAAACAATTTCTGAAACTTTGGCCAGAAAATAAAGTATTTCATTTAATTCCATGGGAAATTTAGCTGTAGCATATTGTTCAGCGCAAAAGTTACACCATGATTGCTAGACAGACATCTATTTGCCCAAAATAAAACTAAATTGAAGAACTGCTGTTCTAATATGTTTGTTACTCAACAAATTAAGAGCCGAAACAAAATTCACAAATGTGGAACAATGATTTAATTTCATCGATATGCCAACATTGCCAGTGTAAAAAAAATAAAATGCTTATTAACAGAGAAGATTACTTAAAATTGCCAATATAAATGCAGTGCATCCTCAAAGACAGTCCAACTAGAACCAATGAATAAAGGCTAAAAGAATGATGAGCAGAGCAATAAACATACCTGTCCAGGGCCGTGATATGTAACCTCCCCACCACGTTCGGTCTGATAAAGATCATAAGGTGGACTAGTAATATCAAATTTCACAAATTTTTCCGAGCTCCTAGTACCTAATGTATAAACAGGTTGGTGTTGAAGAATGATCAATGTATCGGAGTGGTCTTCACCCCTCTCTACCAAAGTCTGTCTCTTTCTAAGTAGTGACTTTTGCCAAGACCAGGCAACTCTGTAGGGAATAAGGTCTTCATAAAGATCAAAGCATTCACACCTGTTCAGGAATAATATTAAAATATCAAGTTAACGTCATCTGATATGTAAATGTTGTCATTCTGTACAATTCATGTGGAAAGTAAATAAATAGTACTAGATAAAATAAATGATAAATAGAATATGAAGTCAAAATTACAATTCCTATTTGCCAATAAAACTTAAAGCTAACATTATGTTATAAACAATAAATGATGGCTGGTTCCACAGCTGTACTGGAACCAAAAATGTTCTATCAGCCAGCGCTAATCTTGAGAAATTATCTAAGATCATCAAGGCAAGACTGGTAATAAACAGAGCCAAGTAGGAGCTTGTTTGCTCTCGAGCTTGTGTATCAGAATACAGCTCAAGCGTGGCTCAAGCTCGATTCAAGTTTTTATGATTGTGTTCGTCTGGTTCGTTTAAGATCATGGATGCTTGAACTTGGTTTGAGCTCACCTGCAGTTCAATTTATATTGGCATTGTCAAGCTTACTATTTAGTAGCTCATTAAGCAAAATAAATGATTTGTATCGAGGCAAGATTGTTGAGCTTCAAATGAGCATCTTATTTGAAAAAAATAGATGAGCCTTATCAAGTTAAGTTTGTTGAGCATAAAAGATAAAATTTTAATTTAATAGGGTTTTTAAACATGAACATTTGTCCTGTTATTTTTTTAAAAATTACCAAATCTTTTTAAGAATTTATCCGAGCAGGGGTGTTCCAGATGAGCTAGAATGCCACAGGATAATGTAATTAGGCTTAATGCTAGAACATTGTGCTTTAAACCGTATAAAAAGTATTAATTTAAATATCCAACTAATGTTAGTGAGGGTTAAGACTTGGACAGGTGAGGCGAAAAATGGAACAAACATCCAATTGATGAGTGTAAAAAATGAAGCTTTTTGCAATTAAATATATCCCCATTACCAGAGAGCTCATCTTTGCATTTTAATGGTTAATATTGAGTATTAAACCGAGCTTTAATGAAGTTTATTGATGAGCTTTAACAATATTATTCATAATCATAAATAAATAAAGTAAAAGGCTATTCAAGCTTCTTCATAGATGCAAGCCACCTAGCCTGGTGGTTGAGACCTTGTCATTCAATGAGGTCCTGGATTCAAAGTCTTATGCAGTATGTGTGTGTTTGCAATTAAATTTCCTCAAATTTTCTGAAGAAAAAATTGTTCATATCACAATAATAATAATAATAGTAAAAGCTTGTTCATGGACCAATGGAGTGGTTAGAAAAATATTTAAGTTTGTTCAATTAGTTAACCAAATGATCATGAATGGGCTTTAATAAAGCATAGCCACATATAGCTTCTCGAATACTCGATTCATATTTAGCATTATAGACAGCGTTTAGAGTCCACTAAGAACAATAGTTGTTGGTAATATAGATGTCCTCGCCAACTCCATCTAAGAAAAAAACTTATACCCTTTTACTTAAATTTAAACTAGGCATTGAAGCATAAAAGCATAATAAATTCTATCCCTCAATTACTAAAAGCTGCCTCAACAATCAATCAGCTAGAGTTCAATGCAAGGCAACCTTATGCATGAATCTAGAGTATATGTGATGAACCTTGAGTCCTCTTCTTTTAGTGTAATAATAAAATAGAGTTAAAGAAACAATTAATAATTTCTAGCAAACACTGGATACAGTAAAGAATGAAGCATTTTGCGAAAAGTTGAACTAATCACTCACAAGTAGACGATGATGTCATATCTTAAAAATAAATTGAAGGATGATAAGAGTCTAAGAACTCGATTACTTTCAATGTTGTTGGATGGTCTAAATAAGCAGATAACAACTACTCTTACAAAGGATAAATCAACTCCATACTAAATCATATTTATCCCTTCATGAAAGCACAAGTGACATGCAAATGATTATCAAATAGTCTGCATTATGTGTATTAACTACATCCACAACATAACATTTCAAGCAGCCAGTGTGAAAAAGAACTAAAAATTTATATTTCAAGAATTGCAAAGGTAAATATTATATAAATATATGACATTTACAGAAAAAAATCTTTACCGAATGCTGTTCAGGTGATACTTGCAAAACATCCTCAAAATTAACCATAATACCCCACCAACATAATTGTACAAATTGTCTCAACTGTCTCAAGTGTGCCACCTGCTTGGTTGATTTAATAATTCAAGGGTTTGTCCTAATAAATTAAAAGAAGGAATTGAAACTTACCTCACATTTCATCCATGCATTTGCAAGAACGTTTCTCAATTGATACTTATGCCTTCTTTTTATTCATACTACAGCTTCTTTATTTTAGCTATTGGGAAAAAAAAAATTTTAATTCTAGGTTTCTAACAAAGATGTGTTGCTCGGATGTCTAAACAATGGGGTTTCTATGCATCTTAACACTTTAAGGATTCCTTGAAGTGCTACAATTCCCAAACAAATCCACACAAAAATGGGATTGAGCTATACTTTGCTTAGGTAGATCAATCGATGTGAGAACAAGATTATTATACTTTCACGTAGGAGAGCATTGATTAATCCTCCTAAACAAAGTGTAGCTCAAAACCATTTTTTTGAGTGGATTTGATAGGGAAGTGAATCTTTACTCTTCCTTGCATTCATTTAAAACAGGTATGACTATTGAGAAGTTGGGTCATTACTGTAAAAGAAGGCTTGTTCTCAAACAGCAAAAAGGAAAATATCTAACACGGGAATAAAGGAAAACTCAAAATTCATAGTATTAGCGAGCTTCAAACTTATAAAGAGCAAATCGCACATTTATCTGTTGCATAAAACACAAAAAAATGAGAGCATTCAATGCAAGTGATGAGTTATAGGCGTAGTGGACATGACCAAAGAGAATATATTCAATAAAACCCTAAATTAACATAAAAAAGGGATTAATGTGATCAACATTTTAAATGTAAGAAAATTCAGTTAGCGCAGGAAATTGAAATAAAAGAAGAAAACAACGATAGAGTTACAGATATAGTTGGCCGACCTCCTTGCATCTCGATGACTCCCAGTTTTAGCTTCTCCAGTATGATTAAAATCAATTTTATTTAATTTCAGAGATCCCTTAACATGTAATTTATGGTGCCATCCTTTTGCTGCATATTTGCGATGTGAAACTGGAAAGACGAATCCTGCGGCATGGAAGAGAAAAGTAGCATGCAAGATGTAGCAACTGAAACCCTAATGCGAAGTAGGAAGAATAAAACTTGCCGGCGGTTTGATGGAGGTAGCAGTGGTCAACGGAAGGGTGCATCACCGGATTTCTTCTCGTCTCTATCTCTTCCTGGTCAGCACGAGAAGCATCAGCAACAGCGTTTTCTGCAACCCAAGCTGTTGTGTGTCATGCGAATCTCTGGAATTCAAACCGATTGGAGAGTTACAAACCCGAAATCCCGCATTATCGGGCTAGCAGCCAAGACGATGGGAACGCACAGAATGCAAATCACAAATAGCTGACTCTGGAATTTCGCAGTAAAGAGCCAGAGAGGAGAGAATGTGTGTACCTTAGAAGCGTACTTTGTAACGCTGCTTATGCAGTCGGCAAATTGATCTACTTCTGATTTTGAAGAGAAGTCGGCAAATTGATCTTATTTAGCCTCTGTTTGCCGCAGCTTCCAGTTTTTCTGCTTGCCGCACCTTCCAGTTTTTCTGCGCACCTTCCAGTTTTTCTGCCTGTGTGTTAAAACTGTAAAAAAAAAAAAAAAAACCTCTAACAACTACATTTTTTAAACTTCTGAAGCAGAAATCGCACCTTCCAGTTTTTCTGCTTCTTGTTTGTTAAAACTGTTAAAAAAAAAGACTGTAACAACTACATTTTTTTAACTTCTGAAGCAGAAATCTATTTCTAAACATAACAGAAAGTTCATATACCATCACTTCTAAAAGAAGATTTTTTTTTAAGTTTAATAATTTAAACAACAAGTATTTTAACATTCTACAGAAACTATGATGATGATGCGCATCTATCAACTATATTTAACAAAACATATAAAGAGGTCTAAAGTTGTCCTTTAACTCAACTCATCTAACCTCCTCCCTCAAATATATTTAAAAAAATTTACATACATACCACACAATTTTTATGTTTCATAAAAAAAAAAACATAGCAAAAGTAACAAAAATAATCAAAACAAACTTTCTTTACATAACATCACAGATAAAATAATCAAAATTAAGAAGAATACAAAATATTGTTTGGTAGCCCGAACACAAAATATTGTTTGGTAGCTTAAAACTGTGATAAATTCCATTACAATTCGACGAAAAATTAAGCTTAAGTATAAAATTAAATGGAAATTGCCAAGTTGTGGAAAATTCAATGCCAGCAAACTGATATATGTGGAGAAGAACAAGGCTCACTTGATTTAGTTTGGATTCATAAACGCATTCATTTATATGCTCCTCGCTTCAGTTCTTTTAAAATTTATTCAACTATAAATTTAAAATTCGTTCAACTATAAAGTCGAAGTACAATAGAATTAACCAAAAAAACTTAACTCCAATGCCATGCATCAACAGTGGTATGTATGTAAATGCTCCTGTTTCAGCTCCCATATAACAAAAATAATTGAATACAGCTCGGGCAAGTTACAAATATAGCACTACAGACATTGATAATTACAAAGCAAGCACCCTCTGATGGTTTGTCTGCATCGAGAAAAAATACAACATCTGATTTAAAAACACATGTAATGAATAGATTTAACCATAGGAAATATCAATTACGCAAGTCCAGATCTTTATAAAAAGTTCAAGAAAAACTTGAATTATGGAGGTCTACATTGAAATCTAAAGGCCTTCATTTGAGTAGAATTATTACTAAAAACATGGAATGTAATTTTAGTAGTAGTAACTCTAGTGACAAAGTTGTAACTATGGGTAATCAAATCAAAAAATGGTGTGAACATTTTAGATATCTCGGGTCTATTGTTCAGTGGGAAGGGGATATAGATGGGGTTGTTATTAGTAGAATTCAAGTTGATTGGTTGAAGAAGAGGAATGATTCGAGCCTATTGTGTGATAGAAAAGTATCGCTTAAACTGAAAGGAAAATTTATAATATGGTGGGGAGACTTGCAACGCTCGATGGCATCGTGGGACTCAGCAAGGATGACCAGGGACCGCATGCTTAGTTGACCGGCTCTTGTGTATCATCTTCCTAGACGGTTGATTGGATTAGTCCATAATAAGATTAGTTTTGGGTTGGTTGATTGGATGAGTTTTGAATTCATCTTAGTTAAAATTGTTTATAAAAAATGTGTCATGAATCTCAAAGATATCTCACGATGGCATCGTGGGACTCAGCAAGGATGACCAGGGACCGCATGCTTAGTTGACCGGCTCTTGTGTATCATCTTCCTAGACGGATAATAGTATATCATCTTTGAAAGAATCTATCTGATCAAACCCACACGGATGAATCTAGTTTCCTTCACTCTGGTCAGGCCTGGTGAGCGAGGCAAACCGTCCTGTTTCAGAGCAGTTGGTACCAGTTCTAAGTCGCCCAACCTAATGGCCACTTGACCTAATATCCGCCCAACCTTATGGACGCTTGGACTAATGACCTTCCGGCCTTACGAGCGACCGACCCCTTACTGTCGGATTTCTCCTTGAGTCCTCGAATTAGTCTTACCAGACATTCGTGGGCCCCTGGGCCACTTATTTATGTATAGGCTAAAATACCCCGCCATATATATGTATACTAGGGGTTCAAAATGTAATTCTGCATCCCCATTACTATAAATAGGGGTCTATTTCATGAAAAAATGTTACACAATTTTATTGTTCACTACTCAGCTCTCGGCTCTTTGCTCTCTCTACTGTTTACTATTCATCTCTCTCTCTCTCTTTCTCTCTCTCTCTCTCTCTTTCTGAAGTGTTTTATTCCTTAGGTGTGTCTTCTAGATATATTTTAATTCAAAATAAATATAGGTGAATTATAAATTTTATGGGGAATTTGGTAGCATACCTTTAATAGGATTTACGGTAAGATTCAATGCAAATACAGTCAAACATAAAAAAAGACAAGTTAAATATGTCGTTAAACTAAATTCAGTTTTGCCCCCAGTTTCAATGTAAATCTAGATTTATTTAATCTGATATGTAGTTGGATCTAACAGATTAACTTAGGAAGAAAAACACACTGTGCGCTCCTATTATCAATTCTCTGGTTGCATGGTAGCCTAAATGGAGGATTCAATACGATTGTTCTGATTCTTCTGACTAGAATGGAAAGGAGGCCATGACAAAGCTTTTCAAGGACATTTATGAGAGTGGTCTCACCAGGTGAAGATAAGTCAGGAATAGTACAACGGAGAAGCAAATGAGATGAAATCAATCCATTTGAAGATTTTGTATGGGGGAGTACTTTCCAATGTTGAAAAATACATTGGAGCTATGGAGGTCGGTTAAACAAAGTTTGAGGAAGAAGATGATTATAAAGCGGGAAAATTTTTTTTTGGTGCCACATGGTTGATTCAAGGTTAGGAGTAAGAGCATTCACTTACATAACACAATTTTATGTTTTTACATATCTAACATTGAAATTTTCAATTTTTACATTCACAACTTAAAATTTTAATATCACATAAAGAATACAATCAAACATATTTATTTATTTTAAAATGAGTTGAATGTTATAATCTAAAATAAGATGCCAAATACTCTTTGAGGATTTAACTAGATTTAAACTTAATTGTACCAAAAATTTATTTTGGATTTAAGGGTATTGGATTTGATAAATCCGAATTTACTATATTTACTAAATCCTAATTAAGTCTTTGATACAACCAAACACCCTCTTAGTAATTGATTTGCTCAAAAGTAGATCTAAAGCAGTTTTGAGAAGGAATTTGTGTTTCTTATTGAGTTCAATTTGATGTATTTTTTAGGGGGGCAAATTGGATGTATTTTGAAATCGTTAATTTGGGCCATTCAGTATTCGTTAAATTATCTTTCTTTTTCATGGCAAACTCAATAAGAATCTTCTGTTATGTTCTCCTCACACCTGCATGTCATCGCTTTTATCGACACCTCCACCATTCTCTCATGTGTCACATGTTATCAACACTATCAATAACTCTACTAACGATCTCCCTTAAAAATTATAGTGATGACATACTTTGAATATCTCCCTCACTATTACATGTGTGTAAAGATCTTTATCATCATCTTACATCTCATTCAACTAACGATTACTTTTACGTCTCAATTTGAGATGTCTTCAAATATGAATTATGATTTTGATATAATCCTAGAAAATTATATATTATTGCATAAGAAACACAGTATTCACATGAACAATCAAAAAGTTTTTCTTACATGTGATTAAATTTGAATTTTTTTTATACACAAATACAAAAAAAAAAAAAAAAAAAAAAACTTCTATTGTGTGATTTCTTAACATGACTCAAAAAACCTAGGAGATTCATAGATACCTAATTATATGTAAGATGTACATTCATGCTACTCACCTAGCTTGATGCTACATCCTCAATGCTATGGAAACTTCAAATCTTGTTGCTACTTATAGCCCTCTTATGTTCAATTAGAGTAGCCCATTGTTGACCTCACTTTTGGTTGAGGTCAGTATTTTGATTTGAAAATAGGAGCAACTGAAAAAAGACCAATGTAAATTTAATTGACAATCATATGCAAAGATTAAACTATGATATTCGAGGTGACTTGCAGAGTTTAAAAATAATTTAAATTTTATATAAAATTTAAAATGATGATGAATAATAAGTTTATCTTTTGTTCATAAATATTCTCAAGTTTCAAACAACTCGTAATTTGAATGTTTGTAAGAAATGCATTTTTAGTGGTGTGCATAAAGAAAACTATAGAGATATTAATGAAAATATGAACTTTGATTGTAGGATAAAATTAATTTTGTTTGATGACATTTAATTGCAAGAGACTCGACTAAGTTTGACTAAGTTAAGGTAAAAAATAATAATAAATATACTTGCATGAGGCTAATGCTAGGGAGAATTCCTATAGTAATAGATCATCAATTGTGATTCCTTCATTGTGCAGTGGATTATGCATAAGGAGTACAACATGTAAGAAGTTCATGATGGAGGGAGATCAAGTGATAGGTTGAAGAGAGATTTTGAGAGGAGCATGTACTAGAAGCTTTTGTGAAAAGAATTCAGATAACTAATATTTTTAGAGATGTATTCACGAGACAAGTTAGTAAGAGATTATGAGTCAAACCAAGATGTGAGGAGAATAAGACTTTTATAAGTTCTAAGAATCAATAATTTCACATAGAAGTAGACTAAGGGTCCGTTTGGGGCAGCTTGTGCGTTTCAGGATAAGTTGTTTATCCTGAAACGCGGCCCGCAGGCCGGCCGCAGGGGTCGACCTGCGGCCGGCGTTTAGTGTAAAAACACAAACGCAGTTTCAGATAAGCTGGCGAAACGCACGAACCAAACGGTACCTCAACAGAACAGAAAATTCATATACATACAATCGTAGTTTCTTAACACATATTATGCGGATTGGTCCTTTGAAGAAAGCATCCATCCAATGCATTTGCAGAATTGTGTTTCTATGGTTCATTTACATACATACCACACAATTCTTATGAACTTGGCATACATACCACAA